GAATACACTGTAAATTTCTCTCTTAAGATCCTCTAAGATCACCTGAGCCCACGCCATCCCTTGACACGAAGCGTGTTGAGGAATAATTGAATTAATTATTCCACCCTCTTTTAAACCTTTGCCAAAGAACTCAACTCCAAAGTTATATTTTTTCACTTTTTTAAGTATATTTTTCCTCGTCACTTGATCATTGTATCGTTATATCGAACAATTTATTTATAAAGATAAAATTCATCCCCTTCCTTTGCCTCAGAATTTTTTCCCTCGTATTAAAAAGAAAAAAGAAACCTAACGATGAAATATAAAGAACACCCTATATAAAAGTTCGGTATAAAAGCGCACAGGATTTCAAAGCAGATGATCGTATTTTTTGAGCATGTATCTCATGAATAATACGAAATTGATATAACCCCTCAGTAACCAAATCGATTAACTCCACGCACGAGATAAAAAGGAGTACAAATTTATTTTAATTTATTTTAAATATAAATTACTAAGCATTAATTAACTGCTTTGGGATTAAAATTTATACGAATTCGTAAATTGGGATTAATCACTTTGCTCTGTGAAGCAATAAACGACTTATATAATAATAAATAAGAATAATATTTCATCCCCTTCCGTGCATTAAAATGAAGACTATGCGCAAGACTGCAATCAATTATAAACCTTGCCCTTGTAAAAAAGAAATTCTGATTGCAAAGAGTGAGGAACGCCCTGTGTAATACAAATTTATTTCAAATATAAATTACCCAGCATTAATTAATTACTTTGGGATTAAAATTTATACAAGTACGAAAATTGGGGTTAATCGCTCTGCCCTGTAAAGCTACGAACGGCTCGTATAATAATAACAATAACAATATTTCATCCCCTTCCATGAACTGAAACGAAGACTATAACAGAGACTATAATCAATTACAAACCTTCCTCTTGCAAGAAAAAGAAAAATTTCTTATTGCACAAGATGAAGAACATCCTGAACAATACAAATATACTTTAATTTATTTTATATACAAATTGCTAAGCATTAATTAAATGTTCTAGAATTAAAATTTATACAAATTCGAGAATTGGGGTTTGTCACTTTGCTCTGTGAAGCTATGAACGACTCATACAATAATAATAACAATAATAAGAATAAGAAGAAGAAGAATATTTCATCCCCTTCCGTGAATTAAAATGAAGACTATGACCCAAACTACAATCAATCACAAACCTTCCCCTCAAAAAAAAAAAATTCTAATTACAAAGGGTGAAGAACACCCTGTATAATGCAAATTTATTTTAATCGATTTTATATACAAATTACTAAGCACAAATTAACTGTTTCGAGATTGAAATTTACACAAATTCGAAAATTGGGGTTTGTCACTCTACTCTGTGAAGCTATGAACGACTCATACAACAATAATAATAATAATAATAAGAAGAAGAAGAATATTTCATCCCCTTCCGTGAATTAAAATGAAGACTATGACCAAAACTACAATCAATCACAAACCTCCCCTCAAAAAAAAATTCTAATTACAAAGGGTGAAGAACACCCTGTATAATGCAAATTTATTTTAATTGATTTTATATACAAATTACTAAGCATAAATTAACTGTTTTGAGATTAAAATTTATACAAATTCGAAAATTGGGGTTAATCACTCTACCCTATGAAGTTATGAACACCATATAATAATAATAATAATAATAATAATACATCCCCTTCCATGAATTGAAATGAAAGCCGTAACCGAGACTGCAATCAAGCACAAACCTTTCTCTCGCAAAAAAAGGAAAAATTCTGATTGTAGAGAGTAAAGAACACCCTGTATAGAAGCTCGGTATTC